CATCGCGCTACCTACTTCTAAGTTGTCTGCGACGCCCCCCACCCGTCCGCCCGCCAGCTCAGTGGCTCCTCCCCACAGGGCAGCCAGCTCCTGGGGCCTTTGTTGCTGGGAGAGGAGCCAGGGCTCTGGGCCTGGGCATATCCTGCCCTTGCTTAGAAAAATCACTGCCCCTTTCTAGGCCTCCATTTCCCTGGACGAACTGAGCCTCTCTCTTGCTGTCCTGTCGCAGCAGTTATGAGGGGCCAGAGTGATCTTGTGAGTGTCACGCCTAGGGAAATGGGGCTGTGTCTGCTGCAGCCTGCCTGCCGGGGGCCACACCCCCTGCCTGCCGGGGACCACACCCCGTGGACTGTGGCGCTGGAGAACAGTGCTGGGGCCTCTTTACTGTCTAGGAAGGACAGATGACAAACTCAGGCACCAAGACAAATAGGTAAAATGAAGACACAACACAAGGATTAGTGAAGAAGACAGGATCACACTAGTGATCAGGCAAGGCCTCGGAGGATGTGACAGCTTGAAGGGAAGAAAAACATTTTGGGCAATGGGGACAACATGTGTAAAGACCCTGAGGTGGGAGAGAGTTAGAGTATTTGAAGAGCAGGGTGAAATAGTGCAGCCAGAGCAGAGAGAGTGAGGGAAAGGTGGTGTGAGATGAGGTCAGGTCAGGCAGGGCTCTTGGCGTGAGGAGGACTGGGCGTTTGTGTGACCCGCAGTGGGACAGCAGGGAAGTTTCAGGCAGGGCTGTGGCAGCATGGATGTACACGTTTGAAGATTTCTTCTGGCCGTGGTGAGGGTGGGCAAGTTGTGTCAGGGAGACCAGTCATGGACTGGAGCATGGCTGGGCAGGGATGCAAGGGGCCCAGCCAGCCTGCAGCCGGGGAAGCGGAAAGATGCAGGTGGATGCTGGATGAAGCTTGGAGAGGTGGGATGGGCTGCACCCTCGAGGCAGGAGAAGGGGAGAGGAGTCAAGGACCATGGGTCCCCAGAGTTCTGGCCAAAGCCGTAATGCTCAGTACCAGCGTCACCTGATGCTGTCCTGTCCTATGGCAGCTGCTTTGTTGCGGAAGCAGTGGACCCAATGGAGGCTGAACCCTCTATGCCAGGGATGGCGAACCTTTTAGAAACCGAGTGTCCAAACTGCAGTGCAAAACCCACTTACTTATCGCAGAGTGCGGTCACTGCCCCTCCGTGGGTTGTTGTCTGTTTTGCTGACTGCCAGGACAGCTTAGCTCACATGGGTATATAGAGGGCTCCGCATGCCTGCTGTGGCACACACACCAGAGGCTTACCACCGCTGCTCTATGCTTTACTCAGTGCTGCAGCCTGAGGGTGCTCAAGGTATGTTTGTTGAATGAATGCACAAACCTATGACTAGGAAGTCTCAGACCCTGCCCTACTTTTATATAAGGACTGCTGCTGGTTTGGTGTCTCTACCCTCCATGCTCCTTCTAGGAGGTCTGATTATAGAAGCCTGTGCCCACCTGTGCCATGAGTCAGGACCACCCCTCTAGCAAGCCCTGGCTCCCCATCTCCTGCCCTAAACCTCAAATTACCTGTGGGGTGGAGCCAGCAGTGTCCTGAGCCTTCCATCTTGCCCACATGCGCATGGCAGACCCAGCCCTCCCTTAATGACACCTTGCTGCCTCCTGCTGGGGCAGGAGGGGTGGGGGATGGCCCAGCCTGAGCTGTGGTTTCTTTTTCCATTGCGTCAGGCCTCAGGGTCCGGCCAGCCTGCCCGCTGCCCGGCTGGCACTCAGGGCCACTCTGACCCCTCGCCTGTCCCAAATTCAGACATCATGTGCTCCCCGTTTCGGGCATCTAGAAGCTTCCTGCCAGAGGGTAAGTTGGAGGTGGGGGATGTGCCCCAACATAGAGGAGGAGTTCCCTCCCTGCCTACCCATCCATGCTTTGCTGGGCCCAGCTGGGGCCTGGGAGCAGATCCAGATGGAGCTGTGGTAGGCTGGGAGGTCCCAGGTCCTAGCCGAGGCCCACCTTCCCTGGGACCTGGGGATCCTGACTATGCCTCAGCCAGACGGGAGTGAGTAAGGGTAGGAGACTAGTGTGAAACCAAGGCAAGGGGCTGGGGTTTGGACAGGAGAGGGGACTCAAACAGGGACAGGAACGCTCACCTGGGTGCCTGCCTTGTGTTTGTCAGTCTGGGTGCTTGTGTCTGTGTGAGTGGTCACGTGTGTGTATCTGGACAGGCCAAGGTGTGAGCAGGGTGTGTTACCTGGCCCTCCTGCTGGTAAGAACAGAAGTGTCTGACTTGAAGCAGGGGCCTGTCACCACATGTCACCTAACATCATGCAGGGAACTGTGAGGTGGGGCTTGGGGTGGGTGATCTGGGATCCAGGTGCCAGTGCTGGTGGGAGATGCAAAGCTGTGGACAGTGACCTCGGAGGAGCTGGAAGCCCTGGGTGCTCTGGCCCTGGGTACTTGAAGTGGGGGCATGTCGTTGGCTTACCCAGCTGCAGCCCTGGTCCCGACCCTGCCCTCTCCGCCCAGCCTCCCCTGGCCTGGTAGATTCTCTGCCTGTCCCCAGATGTCCAGCAATCTCCCCATCCTAGTGAGAAAGCCATGCACCAACCCAGGAGTCCAGAAACCCAGTCCCTACTCTGCCTCTGCTCTTTCCTGGCCATGTGATTTCAGACAATGACTTGAGCACTCTGGGACTCAATTTCTTTCTCTGTAAAATGGGGGTGCTCATCTTGCCCCACACTCTACACCCCCGGGTGCGGGCATGAACAGGCACTGTCGTCTGTGCCCAAGGCACAGACATCCCCCTGCCCCCTTGCTGGTGGAAGATCTGCTCTCCCTGCCCTGCACGCGTACACCACCCAGCTCGCGCCCAGCTGCACACGGTGAGAGGGCACGGTTTGCCGGCCTCTCCAGTGGAAACAGATTTTTATATGACAAGAATAAATCCTGCAGGCAAATTGCAGTGCTGTCCTGATGTTTTGAGCTCGTGTGATTGTAATGAGCTTCTGGGGACAGGCGGTGAGAGAGAGGAGGCTGAGGACTGGCTTCCTCACTGTCCAGATCTCCTTCCTGCCAACCAGGCCCTGGGGGTGGGGGCATGAAGAAGGGGCCTGCAGCTGTGCTGAGGAGGGGTCTGAGGCCTAGGATGGGGGCTGCAGCCTGGTGCCTATGGCCTGGTCCTTCCTGCCTGGGCAGGAGCAGCTCATGGCCAGATCTTCCTAGAGCCCAAGAGAGCTTTTCAGGGCAAAGCAGGGCTGAGGATGTAGCTCAGGCTGAGGAATGTAGCTCAGTGGTAGAGCACTTGCCTAGCATGAACAAGCCAGCCCTGGATTCAGTCCCCATCACAGAGTGAAACAAAAAGGCAAATTAGATTGCATCACTTCTGAGCCTGCAAGAATTCATCATTCTTTTTTTTTTTTTTTTTCCTGGAACCGGGGATTGAACTCAGGTCCATTGTGCTTGCCAGAGAAGCGCTTATTCCACTGAGCCATCTCCCCGGCCCCCAAGAATTTATCATTCAGGGCCTATGGTGCCCACAGGACCTGGCTCCTCACCTCGGGCCCTCAATCCATTTCATCCAGACTGGAATGGGGGGGTTCCGTGGAGCCTGAGACAGGGTAAGCTTCTTTGGGCAGGATCTGCAGCCCTGGCATAGATCTTTGTGGCTCCACAGGACACGGACAAGCCCATTTCCTCCTCTGGAAGATGGGACAGTGGTGCTACTTGCACCACGACCTAAATGCACTGTGCTGGGGACATGCTGCCAGTGCTCCCAAGCACAGGGACTTGAATTCTGTTCCCACAGGACAGGTGCTGCTCCCACCTCCCACCTCTAGGAACCAGCGAGGGGACAAAATAGGAATGCAGGAGTTTTAGCCTGGCCCTTGTGGGACATGGCATGCTTTTATGGACTTGGCTCATCCACCTAGGTGACAGCCTCCCTTAGATGCACCTGTAACAGGAGGAATAAGATCTGACCACAAGAGTCTCAAAACATCATGTCTTGGGGCCGAGGAGATGGCTCAGTGGAATAAGCGCTTCCCTGGCAAGCGCAGGGGCCTGAGTTCAATCCCTGGTTCTGAAAAAACAAAAGAACACTGTGCCTTGACATTCCAAGGAAGGATAAAAAACAGAGGCACAGAGAATCAGCGAACTTTTCTACAGGGTCTGTGCCAGGTGGGACCAGAGCTCACCTCCACCCTAGAGATGGTTCCTTCCCTTCTGATCCAAGTGAACACTGTCCTTGAAAGTAGGACTGCGTAACAGGAGCCAATGTCAGTACCCAGCTTGGACAGAAGGGTTCAGAGGCTCATGATGCAGGATTAGGGGAAGTCGTCAGTGGTTGGAGGGTCAGTTCTAGGTTGCAATGAGAACCAACTAGGGAGGACTTGAGTGATATGGACCTGCAGGACCAGGGCTGCAGCTGGGTAATTGAGTGATAAGGGTCTGTCCATTCATATACTTATTCACTCATCCTTCTGTTATTCAGTAAATGCACATTGAATGTTTCTTATACTGCAACTGGGGTGCTTTGGTTAGAGGTACAGGACAAACATGATACAGAATGACCAAGGTTCAAATTTGAATAATTTCCTAGAAGTGGGCTCCCTAGTGGCCAAAGCAACAAGGGAAATCTGAGCCTGTGTACTCGCCACTGTAGCCACAAGACGCCAATGTACTCCTTGCTCAGGAGAAGCCCAGTTCTTCCTGACATGTCAGGTGTCTGGGATGCCTGTGTGCACTGTGGCTCCTGCTGATCAGACAGGGGTAACACACAGAGATCTGTGTGCATCTCAGGGCTAACGACCAACCTAAGCAGGGAAGAGCCTCAAAAACAAACCAGGAAACCTCCCCCCGCAAGGTGCCTTTGTTGTCAGTTTTCCAGAATTTTCCTTTGTCCAATCCCTTGTCTGCTGTTCCTGCCCCTTTTATCTCTCTGTCCCTTATTGACAGGTCAGGATGCGCCTGTGGTGGGTGACAGAGTGATCCGCCCCTACTGACCCTCCCTCCCACTCCCCTAGACTGCCAGGAGCTGCTGCTGCCGCCATCAACCCCCATGGCCTACACGTCAGGTGGGGGCGCCCCAGTGGCAGGGGCAGCCCCCATGGGCTCCCAGTACTGCGTGTGCAAGGTGGAGCTGTCTGTGAGTGGCCAGAGCCTGTTGGACCGGGACGTCACCTCCAAGTCTGACCCTTTCTGTGTCCTCTTCACGGAGAATAATGGCAGGTGGATGGAGGTGAGGCCCCTGGCTACAGTGGGGCACGGGTGGCGCAGCACTGAGGTGGGGGATTCTATGGGGTCCAGCGAATCCCTGGGATCAGGGCCTTGGAAATAGCTGGAATATGGGCTGGTGGCAGTGGAATTGCAGAGAATGTTTGTTTGTTTGTTTGTTTGTTTACTATTAGATAGAGTCTCAATATGCAGTTCAGACTCATAGTGATCCTCCTGTCTCAGCCTCCCAATGCTTGGATTATAGGTGTGTGCCACCATACCCGGTTTTGGGCAGCTTGGCACATCTGCGGTTCTGGGGTGGCATGTGGTACTAGGGATCAAACTTGGGGCCTTCCACTTCCCAGGCAGGCACTTAGACCTCTGAGCTATATCTGTAGCCTGAGAGAATGTTTATTCTTAAAATTATATTTAAGAATATAAAATAATCTTAAAATTATATTTAAAATATTATGTGTCTAAGTTAAACTACAATACATATAATTTTATATCACAGTAGATTAATACACAGCTTAAAACTTTTTTAGTTTTATAAAATGATCACTTCCACTTGAAAATAAGCCTCCTCCATTATTCCAAAATGAACACAGTCAGGGCAATAAAGAGACACATAGGGGTTCAGGCTTTGGGCCTAAACTGGTACCAGGCATGGCCATGCCTTTCCCTGCTGTATGGCCTCAGGCCAGCGGCTGTCCCTGTCTCAACCTTCTGCTCATCTATGAAAGGGGAACTTTATTTTTCCCTGACTACCACAGACATTCCAGAGCTTGGGACATCCATGGTGTCCCAGCCAGGGACTTCTGAGCTGGCAGACTCTGGCCTGAGGCCTTGGGAAGGATGAGCATGAGGAAGAATATTGAAAAACAGGGGTGGCTTGCGCTAAGCTTTTAAAACTTGCTTCATTTCCTGTTCTGAAGGGAAACTGTATTCATTGTAGTAAATTTAGAAAATTTACGTAAAACTAACAAAGACCATCAAAATGACTAGAGCCTGCCTAGCAGAGGGAACCACCATTCACAGTTAGATATCCAGCCTTCTAGGTAGTTTTATATGCATGTTTATTTTCCAAAATACGTATTTCCTTTTTAAATAAATATTTAACTCAGCCACGGTGGGTAGCTAAACTCACTGCGGTTTGTCTCCAGAGAGTCTCCACCGATGTTGGCACCTTCTCATGAGGCCAGAACAAATGGATCTGGTGCTGTTAAGCCATTTTAGAGGCAAAATTGGGCACAGAGCAGGAAGGGACTTTTACTGTGTTTCCCGGTGCAGTGACGGTGCCACAGGAAGTAAGGATGGGACATGCGATTGCCCAGCACTGCTGGGGGAGCTCCAGGCCTCTGGGGGTGTTCCTAGGGCACCAGTCACCTCTGCCAGGGCTCCACAACCTGTGCACCCTTGAGGGCATGCTCAACACTGATACCTCCTGCCCTGTGCTCCCACCCTGTGGTCATCCTTGCTAAAAATAGCTCCGGGCCAAAACCTCTTTCCTCTCTGCTGCTTAACTCTTGGAACTAGACTGGGTTTGAGAAAAAGTCACCATAGATAGCCTGGGCCCCAAAATAGACTGTCACCCAGACTCAGCACTTTGGGGCCCCAGTGTCCATAGGCCAAGAGTCCCATGTGCCACAACTGACGTACAGTGCAGGGCCCCTGTCCTCTCCCAGGCTCCAGGTCTGCAGTTGGGTTTGTTGGAGTGTACAATATCAAAAGTTGGTCTGATGCAAATATCTGTCCCCGGGGACTGCCCTCTTTGTTTCCTCTCTCTGTTTAGCTGCCAGATAAAGTGTGGGAATTTTTTGTTTGTTTGTTTTTTGTTTTTGAAACAGGGTCTTGCTGTGTAGTGCCGGCTGGCCTTGAACTTGCATAAGTAACCCAGGCTGGCCTCGAACTCACTGTGCTCCTCTTGAGTCAGCCTCCTGAGTGCTGGGATTACAAGTGTGTGACACCACACCCTGCCCTAACGTGTGGTTTGAATAACAGGTTTTCCCAAAGTAGAAAGTCTGAAAACTGCACAGTCAGATCCCTTTGCTGTATAGAAGTGAGGCCCGGGAGGGGAGAGGGTTTCACCTTCTGTCACCTACACAGCCAGGGACACCTGGGAATGGAGGTGGGGCTGAAGAGTTAAGAGTGTGGGCCTAACTAGGTATAGTGGTTTGCACTTGTAATCTCAGCACCTTTGGAGGCTGTGGCAGAAGGATCACAAGTTTTAGTCAGCCTAGGCAACTTAGTGGGACCTTGTCTCAAAATTAAGAAAGGGCTACACACTCAGTGCCGGTAGCTCAGTGTGAGTTTCAGGCACAGGGCAAAAACAAAGTGTGAGTATTGGATTTGGATCTGGGTTTGAATCTTGGCCCTGCCTCCCTGGATGTTCAAGCTTGGGTAAATCACTTAGCCTGTCTGTGTTTCTGCTCCTTGTCTGTGGGCTTCAGCCACACAGTACCTCACTGTGGTGCCTGGTGCAAAGTAGGTGCTTAGCGAGTAGAATTGTTGCTAGCCTGAATCCCCTGGCCACCTTGACTCTGACTGCTTTCCCTGCCTCTCTGCTAGTATGACAGGACAGAAACCGCCATCAACAACCTCAACCCAGCATTCTCCAAGAAGTTTGTCCTCGACTACCACTTCGAGGAGGTGCAGAAGCTCAAGTTTGCCCTGTTTGACCAGGACAAGTCCAGCACACAGCTTGACGAGCATGACTTTCTGGGCCAGTTCTCCTGCAGCCTGGGCACGGTGAGCTGGGCCCCGTGGTGGGAGGGAGCAGGGCAGTCCCCCCAACATGTCAGGGCAGCCTGCTGGGGAGCCTCTCCCTCCACCTACCTTTCCCTGCCCTGGTACAGAGGCAGATAACCTGGAGAGCCAGCAGGCACTGGGGAGACAGAGCTAGGGGGCTTGGGCCAGGCTGAAGGGGCAGCCAGACACAGTGCCAGCCAGCTGCTGCCGCCACACAGAGCTGGGGCCTCCTGTGGCCGGAGCTGCTATTCAGAAGTCACCAGGTGCAGTAGTGGCTCCCTGAGCAGCGTCCACCAGCAGCCCAGGCACCCAGTGGTTCCACTTTGTGGCTGACTCCCTGTGCAGCCTTGGGCTTTTATGGTGCCTCTCAGCCACACTTCCCATCCAGCTCAGGCCTTAGTAAGCCACTGCTGGGAGGGGCAGGACTAGGAGCCCCTCGCAAGTTCAGATTAGCCCTTAGGGCTGTGTGCCTGAGAGCAAGCACCTACCTTGTTCTAGGCCTCAGTTTCCCCACATTGCACTTAATGATGACTGCTCTCCCCAGCTCATAGGAAGAGTGAGACAATCATAGAAAATGCCTTGAGGTTGTGGTGAAGGCTGAAATACTCTTGGCCTCCAGGTGTGTGAAGATGTGGCCAGTGCAGGTGATGTCCTCTTGTGTAAGAAGCGGGGGTGCAGCAGTCAGAGTCCCTGCTGTGTCCACACCCTCAAGGAGTAGCTGGAAAGCAGCTGAAGGGTTTGTGGAAGGGACAGGGAGCTAGGAAAGCAGCCTGGGGCTTGGCACCACGGCCCATGGAAGGGGCGTTTTCAGTGTGCTCCACTTTTCGCTTCTATATTGTTTGGATTGTGGAACCCCTTGGGCATGCGTTATCCACTGAAAACAGTGAAATGGGAGTTTGCCTTCGGCTTCAGGAGGCTGGGGTCTGTGTGTGATGCTTGTGAGGGGAGGACACTGAGGGGGCTGTACTGTGCGGTTGTCCCCACAACCTGGGCCCCGCGGGAGCCTTTCTGGGGGTCACCCAGGTCAGGGGAGCCTGACTGCCAGGATTCCTCTCCCGCTGGGGAACCTCAGGCCAGTGTCTTAACCTCACTGGGCCCCAGTCTGCTGGCTGCCCAGGCTGGCCCATGCTGGCAGGAGGTAGCACATGGAGCGTGCCTGTTGATGATCTGTCCTCCCACCTCGCTGAGCTCCTTTCTCTGTCTCTCCTGCCCCAGATCGTCTCCAGCAAGAAGATCACTCGGCCTCTGCTGCTGATGAATGACAAGCCAGCGGGGAAGGGCTTGATTACGGTACCAGCCACCTTCCAGCTCTCCACATGCCCCCCCACCCCCGCCTCCACCCACTGCCCTCCCCTATCAATGGGCCTTTTCTCTGGCAGATAATCACCAGCTTTGTTTGGAGTAAAAAGGCCCAACTTACAACTTAGCAACAGGTCGCTTAGCAACCAGCTCCTGGCTCTACAAATGATGTACTGGAGGCTGCTGAGCTGAGGGGACAGTAAGAAGGTCCCAAAGGAAGCTCAGGGCAGCACCTCCTACTCTCTCTGGAACCCTGAGGGCCCTCCCAGCACCCCTTCCCCACAGTAGTCACTGGCTGCCCCCCTTGGAACCTTTTCAGAAACACCTTGCTTAGCTATGCTGTTCTGGCATCTGCTGGGCACAGAGGTTCCTCCTTTGATGCACACAGTTCCAGCCATGTTCTGGCCAGCACAGGGATGCGCTGCTCTGTCCTCATGGTCCCAGAAGGCAGAACAACCCCATTTAACAGATGGGGGACATGAGACCCAGAAAAGACGCCCAGGGCAGCTGGCTGGTGAAATCAACCCATGTGTGTGAGGCCCGGGAGCCAGCCACTGGAGGGCAGAGCTCCGAGCCTGCTCGTGTGCCTGTGGCCATCACTCCCCTGCTTGAGTACCTATGAGGCTGCAGTGCCTATGGAAACTTCAGGGCTGTGCAGGGCCCATGACTCCTCACTTTGCTTTCCTACTCCAGTTCCTTAGTTTTGTTCAAATGCCCTGGGCTCAGGCCACGCTGGGTTTACAGCACCCTGAACACTCCCTGGATCCCTCACCCACAGTGGTGCTGGCTCCTGGATTGTCTACTTCTGCCTCTCTACCTCTGGGTGTTCAAAATCAGCCTGTCCCATGCTTTTCGAAGGCTAGCTTCCCCACTGAAAGCTGACTTAGAGAAATACCTCCCAGCCCAGTATGTACCCTGCCCCCCCCCCAGCATTTCTAGTCATTCTAATCTGGGCCTCAGTGCCCTCCTCTGGACAGTGGGGGGCCTGCTTTATAGTGTGGTTGTGCAAGACCAGCTGGAGGACAGGAATGAGAAAAAGGACAACCTAGAGAGAGCTAGACCATGGAGCTGGCAGGATGGGATGGCCAGCTTACCTGGGAGGGGCCATCCTAGAGGCTCATAGGGTCACAGAGGAAGCCCCATTGAGGAGGACCCAGCCTGATTGAGTGGCTGGGGGCCCAATGGCTTCCTGGCTCTCTATGGAGAGGGGAGCAGAGAGAGGGCCCGAGAGGCTTCTCAGCACCTCAGATCACCAGCTGGGCATCAGTGGATGGGCTGAGTCTGAGGACCGTGGGGAAAGACGAAGCACAGAAGACCTGTGGGAGCCTCTGAGGCAGCAGAGGGAGCTTGGGTGGCTCCTGGCCTTCCTCCCCAGGGGCACCATGAAGTGGCTATAGCTGTTGACACCTTGGTGGTCTGAGCCCTGCGGAGCTGGCAAGGGTAGGAGGAGCCCTGTCATTTTGCTCCCTGTCCTGAAGCCTCTCCCTTGTGGTTCAAGACCTCCCCCATCACTTCCTAGCCCTGGTGGTGTCATCTCTACCACCACCCATGTCCCCTCTCCTGAGCCACAGGGGGCCATTTCTTGATGCCTCATATCCAGATGGGTTATGCCTCTCATTTTCCAGAAGATGGAAGCTGAGGTTTAAAGAACACAAGAGACTTGTCTGAGGTCACCTGGTACCACCCCAACCTTGTAGCATTAGGTCCTGGGCACAAGGGACAGTTGCAGGGGAAGTGGAAGGAGTGACCCTCCCCTCGTGGCCCTGGACCTTACAGATTGCCGCCCAGGAGCTGTCAGACAATCGGGTCATCACGCTGAGCCTGGCAGGCAGGAAGCTGGACAAGAAGGTAAGGTGGCAAGGGGAGGGGCTTTCTGGCAGGGTGGTACCCCTCCCTGCCCAGCTCTCTCTGGCCTCCCAATTATCACAGCATTACCAAGGAGGAGGTGAGCTTCCTGTCAATAGAGGCACTCGAGCCGCAGCTGGAAGCGCACCCATTGCAGCGGCCGTCTCGTTGATGTAAACGCCCGTGTTCTCACCGTACTCTAGCAGCCCCTCTCTGCCCCAGTGCCCTCAGTGCCCCAGTGCCAGGCCTCACCCCTTCCTCTCTCCTTCGCGCTGCTTCAACCAGTCCAGCCTCCTTGCTATACCTGTGCTTATTTATCTTGCAGAGTGGGACTAGTGCCCAGGGCCTCCCTCGTGGGGCGGGTGCGCTGCCACTGAGCCACAGCCTCAGCCTGCTGTCCCAGTTAAGCCAGGTGCTCCTGTCTCAGGACCTCTGCACCTGCTGCTTCCTTGCGCATCCTCACAGCGCCCTCCCTGCATCGCACCTGTCTCTGCATCGCCTCTGCGAGGGCTTCCAGAAATGGCAGTGGCCTTGGATGGCCTCCCTTCTCCCAATTTGCTTGTTCCCTTGACAGTGCCTGCCTCACACACAATCGTACTTATTTTACTTTCTGTGCCTTTAACTTGCATAAAACTTCTCTGCCACCTTTTAAAAATGTAAATAAATTTCTAAAGGCCATCACATCCCTTTAGAAATAAGATAAACTTCGATTTCCAGAGTCTCAATAATATAGTCATAGGGCTGGCCAGATAGCTCAGTGGACTAAGGTGCCTGCTTAGGCAGATGCAGGGGCTGGGTATGAGCCTCGGTGTGCTATGCTGGTCCTGGCCCCTGGGCACGCTGAGATGGCAATTGGGACTGGGCGTGGTGGTACCTGTCTGTAATCCCCCAGCAATCCCAGCGCGTGGGAGGCTGAAAACAGGAGAATCACTATGAGTCTCCTATTGGGCCCTTGCCTGCACAAGCAGCAGCACTCTGAGTTTCTTTGCTTTTGTTTTTGGTATCAGGAATCCAACTCAGGACCTTGTGCTTGCCAGGCAGGTGCTGTACTGCTGAGCTATATCCCCAGCCTGGTTTTAACTTTGGGTTTTGGTGCTGAGGATGAGGATGGGCCCAGGCCTTCATATGCCAGGCAAGACCTCTAGTTCTGTGCTGCACCCCAGCCTAAGCAGGCACCCTCATGAAGTCCTGCCCTATGATAGGTGCTATAGTTCTAGCACCTGCAGGCTCTGGGTCTCTGGTAGCCTTTTCTTGGAGAAGTTCTGGGAGGTCATTGGTCCTATAAGCTGTAGCTGGAAGGCCTCTGACTCGCCTTGCAGAGACTGATGCAGGGGGCTGGAGTTGAGGCAGGGTGGGAGCTGAAGATGCAGCCAGCTGAGTCCCTCCTGCATCAGTCTCTGCAAGGCGAGTCAGAGGCCTTCCAGCTACAGCTTATAGGACCAATGACCTCCCAGAACTTCTCCAAGAAAAGGCTACCAGAGACCCAGAGCCTGCAGGTGCTAGAACTATAGCACCTATCATAGGGCAGGACTTCTGAGGGTGCCTGCTTAGGCTGGGGTGCAGCACAGAACTAGAGGTCTGGGAGGTCATTGGTCCTATAAGCTGTAGCTGGAAGGCCTCTGACTCGCCTTGCAGAGACTGATGCAGGAGGGACTCGGCTGGCTGCATCTTCAGCTCCCACCCTGCCTCAACTCCAGCCCCCTGCATCAGGGTCGTGCCCCTCACCCTTGTCCTCCTGCTTCCCCAGGACCTCTTCGGGAAGTCAGACCCATTTCTTGAGTTTTACAAGCCAGGGGATGATGGCAAATGGATGCTGGTGCACAGGACTGAGGTGGGTGTGTAGGGTCTGCCATCTACCCTTGCCAGCTCAGGCTGGGCTGTGTAGTCCCAGCCATTCACTTGTTACCTGAAGGGTAGCAGGGATACTGAGCTCCATCCCTGGAAGTGTGGCTGTGGTTCCTCATGTTGTCCATCCTCACTGGGTTGGCCTGACCCCAGAGCTGCCCCTCACCTGTCTGTAGGTGATCAAGTACACGCTGGACCCTGTGTGGAAACCATTCACCGTGCCGTTGGTGTCTCTGTGTGATGGAGACATGGACAAGCCCATCCAGGTGAGGGCCTCCAGGGCCTGCCCCCCACCTCCCAGCTCCAGCCTCCCCAGTGAGCTTGGGGCAACTTCTCAGAGATCTTTATAAGATGGAGTCCTTGTCCAGGGTCTTCTTGACCCTCTGAGGACCTGTGCAGGGTGCCCACCTCTGAGTTCCTGCTGTAAAACTTGCCACCATTCCTAGAGGGTTGCAGAGCTACCAGCTAGGATTGTGAACATGGGACTACCTCAGAAACAATCCCATTTTGCCTGGGTGGTGCCATTGGGAAGACAGGACTGGAAGCCCTCAGTCCTAGGGGCTAGGTCTATAAGCAGGTAGGGTGAGGGATAGATAGCTAGATAGGGCACACATCCCTGGGTTATGTTCCAGGGAACCCAGCTTCTAGTCCTGCTGTGCTTTTCTCTCAGGGCCTCTGCTTCCCCATCTGTTGGTAGGGTGGACACAGTAATGCCTGGCTTCCTCCTAACAGTGCCAGGCAGCACAGTCAGCATGTAAGGCAGGGTTCTGTGTCCATCTGGGGTGCGAATGGCTGGAAAGGACCCAAGGCCGTGGCCCACAGTCAGGTGGGTCCCAGGCTCGGCAGGAGGAGCCAGGTCTCAGGTGTGTGCTGAGGCAGCCTCCTCCCTTGGTGAACCTGCCTCTGTTCCTGGGTGGGCATGCTCCTCTTCTGCAGACATGGGGGACTCCCTGCAGCAGGCAGATCTGTCCTGGAGCCACCTGGGCAGGTGCTAGGGGAAGAATGCCTGCACAGAGGATTGGGGTGGCAGAATTTTGCTCAGAGAGGTAAAAGTGCAGGAAAGTACCTTTGGGGGACAGCTTCGGAGTGACCATACTGGACCCATCCCAGGTCATGTGCTATGACTATGACAATGATGGGGGCCACGACTTCATCGGTGAATTCCAGACATCGGTGTCACAGATGTGTGAGGCCCACGATGGCGTTCCGGTGAGATGGGGTCCCCAAGGCCTTGACAGGGGCCAGGGCGGGATACAGAGCCTTGAGTCAGGCTGGGGAGGGGGGGACAGAGGATTCAGGTGGGATGATAACACAGACAGCATGCTCCCCTAGCGAGGGGTCTGGAGGTGTCACTTAACACTGCAGCAGTTGAGGATGCTCCTGGTATGGCATCTACACAGATCCCCAGGGAATGCACCTGCATTGTGCCAAGGCTGTGGAGGGGTCTTGGGGGCCATGGGGAGCGTCTGTCCCCAGAACCCCCCACAGAGCCTCTGTTTCTGCTCCTGGCTCTCAGCTGGAGTTGGAGTGCATCAACCCTAAGAAGCAGAGGAAGAAGAAGAGCTATAAGAATTCGGGCGTCATCATCTTGCGTTCCTGCAAGGTGAGCCGACCCAAAGGTTTGGAGCCATACAGGGCACCGCTGCAGAGGGTACACAGAGCTCTGGGTCTGCGGCCGGCGAGGCCAGCGTTCAGCTCCTGCCTCCGGTGCAGCCTGGCTCTGTAACCTTAGGAACTTCTGCTCTGTGGGCCTCTGCCCTGTCATGTGAAAGATGAGTGTGTTACCAAACTCGTGTATAAAGGGCCAGCCTTGTGCCACTTGCCTGTGTGGGAGCCAAGAGCTTGCAGTGGCTTCCTGGGCCTCTCCTATTAGGGTCCACAAGAGCCACCCCAGTCCTTGCTGGTGGCCATTAGGGGCATGCTGGGCAGTGGGCAAAGCTGTCCACAGGGGCCCCTCTCCCTTGGCCTCAGTGAGGGCTTAGTGGCTGCAACACCCATCCTGGGGAAGGATGACTCTCCCCACAGCAGAGGCTGGCTTGTGGTCTGGTGGAATGGGGGAGGCAGCTCAAGGCCAGACAGGAGCAAGTCTTAGGCCATTCTCTATGGGTGGTGAGCCTGGCTCCAGGTGTCCACTTTTGGGGCCTGGCTGGCAGCCTGGAGTCATGTGGACCTGCAGTGACACTGCAGCAAGTGACCTTTACACATTAGACCTTGTTAACATGCCCATCCTCCAGGGGAGAGTCCAGAGGCTACAGCACTGTGAGTGGGTCAAGCACAATTTAGGCCGTTGTTCCTGAAACCTCCACAGCACACATTCTTTTGGGGATTTTTGGCCATACTTTTTTCCATTCAGCCTTCCTCCATTTTTAAAATTAACTTAAATACACTTAAAAAAACCCCAAAAAACAACACTTATTTTGACTTTGCTGAAACTGAAAAGGCAGTGTGTTTTGCCAGGAGGCAAGGCCTACAAAACAAATAGTGTTTAACAGCCTTATTCAGTTCTGGGGGAAGCCAGTTATATATAGGTGGAGGCAGTGAAGGCCAGTGGTGTGTGTGTGTGTGTTTGTGTGTGTGTGTCCCACCCACTAGGCGCTAGGAACAGCTCCCCCTGGACCAGGGCACTCACTGACTGCCCCCGTTCTTCCAGATACACCGAGACTACTCTTTCCTAGACTACATCCTGGGAGGCTGCCAGCTCATGTTCACCGTAAGCCTGCCCCACCCCAACTCCCTGAGCGTCTGGGCCATGAAGGGCTTGGAGTTGGCTGCAGGAAGGGCTTAGGGTTGGCTGCAGGAAGAACTTCCGTGAGGCAAGAGTGGCTGTGGCGGAGAGGTCATAGGTGGTTTGTCGTGGCTGATGCCGGTCAGAACTCAGCTGCACAGCTCCCGCAAGGTTGCAGCTGCACCCTGCCATGAAGAGAAAATGTCAGCTCCTCCCCTCCTCTTGCCCCACTGCTGTGTCTGTGACCAGGTCCCCCTTGCCATTCCCTCCAGCCACACCATACCTGTCTGTTCTCCCAGCACCCCAGGCTCTGTGCCAACTCCTCAGGGAAACCTTCCCTGATTTGACCCTGCTGTCAGACACTTCCCTTCTCAGAAGCCACCCTCCACACTTGCACTTGTCCCTGTTTGTCCCTTCCCCACCAGCCTAGGCAAGTGATATGTTTGGGCACTTCATGTGTGTCACTTCCCATCTGGTCTCTGTGACATGCACTCCCTGGCAAGGAACAGTGGTCACTGTCGCAGAATGAAGTGTCACCTTGCCTGTGGCTCAGAGTACATGTCCCACCCACATGCTCCCAGTGGCTCACCTGGGCTCTTGCCCTCCCATGTCCTCAGAGCCTGCTACAGCCACCTTTCCCATTGCCTGCTGCAGTCACCACTGGATCCACGGAGATGGGGACCTTGTAGGGCCACACAAGAGTCAGGGGATTGGCCTTGCTAGTCTTGAACCCCTTTCCCCTCCACCTCCTCCTCTGCAGAGAGGCTAGGCTTCCTGGCTGGAGGGGGCAAGGTTGTTCATTTGGCAAATGTGGCGCTCCTCTATGCCAGGCTCTCCACAGTGCCCTGCAGTGTCCCTTGAGGACTGGGAATGCCAGCCCCACTGCAGGACCTTCCAGCAGCATGAGGCTGTTGTGATGCCCTCCCCCTAACCCTCTAGAGTGACCGAGTTCCAGAGTGGCCATCTTCCTCTAACCCTGTCCTGTTTCTTCCCTACTGGGCAAGGGTCATGCTCACCCACCCTGTGCTACCCCTCTTGGGGCTAGGCTGGCATCCCCTTGTAGTAGAGAATACAGGGAGAGCCCTGATCCCTGTCCACCCCTTAGTGCCTGAGTCGCCATTGAGCACCAGCCCTGGACTAGGTTCCTCTAGACATGTCCCTCACCTACTGTGAGCACCCAGCTGACTGCAGGGATGGGCACTGCCCTGCCAGGAAGCCTGGGTCTCCAGTCCTCAATTGAGAGACCATAGGGAGATAGCTTGGGCTGAGGAGAAAAAGGGATCTTTGGCTGTGCATCAGTCAGGTATCCCATTTAGACACTGGGCTTTCTGCTTAGGCAACAGAGAGCTGTGGATGGTTTAGAGCAGAGTGACACAGTAAGGCAGTCAGATCCTAGGTTTCAGATCATGTTATTGGGAAGTAGGCCTGGGAGAAGAGTGGGCTTCCCAGGTATCATTGGGGTCCCCTATTCCTGGGGGTGGAACAGGGAGCTGAGATCAGTGGCCACTCTGGGTTTCCCGACCCCCAACTCCCACTCTGCAGGTTGGAATAGACTTCACAGCTTCCAATGGGAATCCCCTGGACCCTTCATCTTTGCACTACATCAACCCCATGGGCACCAACGAATACCTGTCGGCCATCTGGGCGGTGGGACAGATCATCCAGGACTACGACAGGTGAGTTTGGAGAGGGGTTTGGAACATCAGCTGGGCTCCTCAGCTAGGAGGCTTAGCTTGTCAGAGCCAGAGGGGACCCAGAGGTCTGCAAGCCCAGGGATATCCAGCCTATGGCATGCACTCTCGTGTGTCCCTTCCTTTACCTCTGACACACATCACTAATTGATTGCTATGCTCTTAACTGCCAACCCTAGACTCAGACTGGATCCTCTGCATATGAGTCATCAGTAAGGAAATAGGGTAGGACAGAAGACAAGACTTGTGCATTGTTGCTGCAGCTCCTTCTAGCCCTGGGGAAACAGAGGCTGGGAGTGGGAGCTGAAAATTTGTCCAAATGTGCTGGACATCACGGTGCTGGAGGCCAGACGCACCAGCCTCATAGTCTCGCTCCTACTGGGGCCTTTGAAGGAACAACCAGCATGCTGGACCATGCTGTGGGGACCTCTGAACAGGGGTATACAGAAAACTGCAGTGAAGGAAAAGGGTGGGGGAAGAGCAGGGAATCCATATGTACTGGGCCTCCATAAGACAGCCTGATGACCAGTGTCCATTCAGGCCACATTAAGAGGGGTACAGCCAGCCTGCAGAGCATGGGAGGTGGAAGGCCCATCTGCATGGTCAGGTGAGGGCCTTGGGGTCCACCCAACTGCTTGGCCTCTGCGGCAAGGTGTCCTGTGGGCATGGGACTTAGCAAGGCCCTAGGAGCCCAGGACACTGAATTGGGCCACAGTCACCTCCTGCCAAACACATTTCAGTGGCTTCCTCTGTGGGCCCCCTCCTTCTGCCTTGGGTGCTACGGTTTGTCCTCCAGTGGCAGCCCGAGGGATCCTCAGTGGACCATATGAACAGGTGAGACACTGTTCTTGATCTCAGCAGACAAGAGAAAGAGAAGAAATCATGCTCTGAGAGACAAGCTTCCATGTGAGGCAGGAGGAGCCATGGGAGCAAAGAGAGGGGGCAGCACTGGGGGTCAGGGAAGCCCGTAGAGCGAAGGTCTATTTTGACTGAGTCATAGAGGACAAAGGGTTTGCACGGGAAACAGAATGAGGACAAATACTTCAGGTAGCGGCACAACAGAATTGAAACTGAGATGAACAGCGCTCTGTACGTTTGAGAAAGTACAAGTGGCCAGGGCCCACCACTGGGGAGTGAACAGGCAGAAGGCAAAAAGTGAGGCTCTAGGGCCAGTGATGAAGGCCCTTGAGTGCCAAGTCAGAGTTCTCATTTTGGGAAAGTTTTCTCCAGCCATGAACAGGAGGCAGAGAGACCGGAGCCAGTACACTCGGCTTCCATGTTGATGTTGGTTTTGTAACTGACTGGGTTTGAGAAGGACCTAGAAACTATACCAAGGCCCACTGATTAGAAGTGCTGTTATTGATTATCAGTGTCTGCTATGAGTACGGTTAGGCCAGGTGCCCACCCAGTACCCAGAGGTGGGGTTGGGCTCTGCAGACAGAATATCCTAGTTTTCTCTAGATGTGATGAGCTTGTCTTCCTGCCCCCAGAGGTGTGCAAGGCAGGTGGGGGCCAGCTGGGGAAAGGGGGCAGCACCCAGATGTGACATGGTGTTCTTCTCTCCTCTCTCTAATTAGTGATAAGATGTTTCCAGCTCTGGGATTTGGGGCCCAGCTACCCCCAGACTGGAAGGTGAGTAGAACTGCCTTGGTTGCCCCTGATTGCATGGGGTGTGTGTGTGTGTGTGTGGTCTCTCTGGTGGATTTGGGAGGTCTTACAGGTAGCCGAGAGCCCTGCCAGCTGCCAGCTTCTGTCTCAGCTGCTCCTCAATGCCTGCAGCACTGGCACCCTGACTAGGGCAGCTTATGTGCCTTTTGTTCTTTCTGCTGTGTGGAAGGGAAAATCAGATAGGGTAGGCAGAGTTAGCAAATAGTTCAGGACACCCAGGGACTTCTGAATTTTACATCACAATAAGCCAGTTTTGGTGTCACATTCCTGTAATCCTAGTACTCAGGAGGCTGAGGCAGGAGGATTGCTATGAGTTGGAGGCCAATCTGGGTTACATTATGAGTTCAAAACTGGTGTGAACTAGTGAAAACATAGCAAAAACCTGTCTCAACTGCCTCTCAAAAGAATCACAATGATGTTTTAAACTATAAATTTGTGCTGAATATTGCATGGGGTATATTCCAGACTGTATTTAATAAAAAAATTGGTTATCTGAAATTGAAACTGCGCAAGGCCTTGTGTGTTCAGTCCAGTGGCTCTAAGGACAGGCAGGGTCTGGGTGCTGAAATGCAGCATCACAGGCCTGGGGGAAGCCCAGGGAAGGGGGCTTGCCTTAGCCTGGAACATCAGGGAAGGCTTCCCAGAGGGGGCAGGGTCTAGTCAAGAGGGGAAGTAGGTTTTTGTAGAGTGACTTGGGTGGCAGTGGGACACGGGGTGCTCTCAAGGCAGAGGGAGCCCCAGGGGCCAGAGGGTGATTGGATCTCCACTGAAGACACTCAAGGTAGAGAGATACTGGGGTATTGATGAGCGGTGGAGACCACATGGGACTATAATCCAGTTTATGTGTGGGAGGGATGAGGGTAGGTGGGATGGGGTGGGGATGGAGAGAAGGGAAGTTGGCAGGGAGACTTGGGCAGTCCACAGGATGGCTAGGTGACCGAGTGGGTACTGGTTGAAGAGGCCACCAGACTTCCAGCTGGGTATGGGGGGCTGGTGTCATCCACCGGGGTGAGGGCTGGGCTGGGCTGTGAAGGCAGGTGGTAAGGTAGAGTTCTGGGTCAGAATGAAGTGGGCAGGAGTGGAGGCTGGGCTGCCTGGGCTGATGACAAGAACTCCAGTGGGCAACGCTGAGAAGCAGTGGTGAGCAGAGCCCACACAGGAAGCAGGATTGCAGCACCCTGGCTGGGGCAGGGAGGAAACTGGGGAGGTGGCATGGTGCAAAAGGTCCAGAAAGTGGAGCAATAAGAAGTGGCCCTGCTGGGCCCTTAGAATGTTCTGCCCAGAGTGCCACCTGCCTTGCTGGCTTCGTTTGATTCTCCCCCAAAGCTGATGAGCAGTAGGCCTTGCTGTTACCCACTTAATCTTGTTTCCACGAGGGGGGCATGGTCAGCAGCTCCCAGAAGGCTGACCTCAAGGAGAAGTCACCATGGCAGAGGCCTGGCAGGGTGGGCAAAGGCTTGCACAGGGTGTGGAGATGATGAGTGTGTGGGAGGAGGTGAGGCCAGGCAGGCAGTCAGCTGGGAAGGAGACAGGAGGAGGAGGCAGTGGGGAAGGGGCGTCTTCTGGGTGTGGGTGCCGTGGATCTGACGCAGGAGGCTTAGAACCAGGAGAGGGGTGTCAGGTGACCCAGAGCAGGCATTCAGTGAGACAGACCAGAAAGCTGGAGCCACTGCAATCAGAGAAAGGCAGTACTGTCACATTTTACAGGTGAAAAAGCCAAGGTTCAGAGGCCAATGGGACTTCACCTTCACCACGGGGGCCTGGAATCCAGGGGGGCAGCTAGATGCAAAGGATTCCCCCCTAGATCTGTTGCCTCCTGATGAGCAGCTGGCCGGGGTGAGCACAGGGGCTCCTCAGTCTGCATGTTTGTCTCAGAAGTGCCCCCTTGTCTGCCCCACTGGGCCACATCCCATTGACAGAATGAATGTCTGCCTCCTGTTTTCTGTGGGAGGCCATTTGGCACCTAGAATTGCAGAGAGTGGCTCTGAGTGGGCACCTGTCTCTGAGCAGTATGAGGCCTGGTCCTCTGGGACCTGAGTTGGTCTCTGGGTAAGCACATGGATGCCACATGGGGGGCAGGGCAGGCTGTGTGGCTGGGCCCAGCACGAGCCTGTTGCTAGGACACCAGTCAGCTTTCAAAGAACTCGGCTGAATGAGATGTTTTCTGAGCAAAAGCCTCCTTGGAAATGTCATAGGGCAACACTGGGGAGTTTGGGACTTGGCCAGGCCAAGTGCTCACTCAAGCTGGGCTTGGAGAAGGCAGATGCTCTATCCCACCTGCCATGCTGGGAACCAGCCAGGCCCAGCCCTCCCCTGTCATTCTGACTAGCCTTGCTCCTCCACACCAACCTGGCCCTCACACTTTGCATGTGGTCTGTGCCCTGCTAGTTGCCCTTTTTACTGGGTTTCCCCACTGCTTCTCAGCTTAGAGCGCTGGCTTCTCAGGATCCCTTCCTGACTGTGCTCACAGGGCTCCTTCCTGCTCTGGGTGTTGTCCTCACAGCCCTGTGATTTGCTTGTGACCTCTAGGGGAAGGCACTGGGTGCTGGCATATAATAGGTGTGCAGTATTTGTTGACAGAGTGGAATTGGGATCCAACCCAGCTAGTTGCCTTTTGGCTGTAGAGTCTTTATGACCCACTGGACCAGGATGGGGACATATAGCAGAGACATGGAACCCATCCCGTAGGAAGCTGCCAGAGCTTCACATGATTCCTCTGCTTCCTCATTAGCTCTGTTTTACCACTGGACCCTGAGTCCAGGTCTGAGGGGTCAGTGTCATTAATCCCAGGTGGCTATGTGAGGGAGGCTTTCTCCCAAGTGCCTGGCTTCCTACTAAGATCTGGAAAGCCCGAGCAAGTAGCCCTGTCATTATGACCTCACACAGTGGCCATGGGTAGAAGAGTATTTCCCAGTGCTCTACAGCCCCACAGGGGGTTGCCTGCTTACAGCTTCAGGGCTCTGTGGAAGGCTTCAGTTGCCCCATAGTGGATTGAAGGCATCTGAGAGGCAGCCTTGGAGGTGGAACCAGAAGCTGATATGGAGGATCAGCAACCTAGATCTGAGGTGGGGCAGGCAGGATAAGAAGCCAGGTGTTTCTTCTGGATGGTTAATAACCTAAGTTTGCAGACCAAAATTAGAGAAAAAGGAGGGATACAAGGAAAGCCAACATTTTGGCCCTAGCCTTCTAAGGTCAATTAAGACAAAGGACATATGAGAACTTGTACTGTAACGTCATGTACCTCGGTAGTGTCCCAAACTTTCTGATCAAGAAAATTATGGGGCCAAAGAGGAAAGTGATCGATGACATAGAGTGGGCCTAAGGAGAGTCACATGGGGAGAAGATACTCTCTCAGGCTTTCACAGAGAGCACATTGGCCAAGCATTGGCCATGACTCATCCACATGGCTGCACTGATAAAGGTTCTACAATCTGAGGTACAGGATCTCAGGACAAATCCTGAGGGCATTTCACTGACCTTCTCAGACCAAAAAGCTACAACTCTTGTTGCATAGGTCCTGCTTTACCTTGGTCTTAACCATCCAGCAGAAAAGTATGAAGATGAAATTATAAGAAATAAAGCCATGCTGTTAAGTTGAGCTGTGGGGGACTCAGGTCAATAATTTCTGACATTGCCAGTTAAACAGAAGACCCAATGCTATTATGGGCTACTGGACTCTTTTAGAATATTTTGCTGAGTTTACACACCTATAATATTCAATAACGGAACTTAGAAAAAATGGGGTATACAGATGAATGTCCATTTTGTATCTGTGTATTCAAAGTGGTTGGGATAGATGTATAGTTACATTCTGTTAATGAATAGAATGATTTGTTCTAATGGAGTTTGTAAGTAGGATCACAAGTCCGCATCTTGTACAGCAATTAACCACTAAGAAGAATATATGCAGTGTATTATTTGTTGAAAAATAAAAAATAATAATAATAATAATAATAATAATAATAAAAAGAAGCCAGGTGGCCTCCAAGGAGCCTTGACCAGGCAGCAGAGGCAACCTAGGCCAGGCTTGGGCCAGAGGCTACTAGCTCAGCATGTCCTTTGCATTTCAGGTCTCCCACGAATTTGCCATCAACTTCAACCCCACCAACCCCTTCTGTTCAGGTGAGTGCACCCTGCCTGTGTCTGCCCCTAGTGCACAATGGCCTGGCTGTCTCTCTGGGTGAAGGAGGCAGGTGCAGTTTTCTGTCCCTTCCTGATAGCCTTCTGTGTCACACTTGTTTAGAATGACAGGTGGGGATAAGCTAGACTTTGGAGTCAGACAGTACTGGGCTCAAGGTCAGCTGCTGTCCTTTCCTGACTGCAGGGCCTTAGCGAGGTCACTGCACCTCTCTGAGATTTTGCCATCTTACTTGCCCTAGGAGCTGTGAGCCCTGCTTACCTTACTTCCCTGGGTGTCCAGGTGAGAATGACAGGAAACAGTTGACAGGAAGGCCATATGAACTAGGAGGACGCATCACACATCTTTCCCTGCTGCCTATCTTCCCCCGCCTGCTGGAAGGCCCCACCTGCCCTCCAACCCTTCATGAAAAGCCTTGGAAGGTAGAGGCTAGCCTTGCAAGGCTAGGCCATGAGTGGGATGGGTGTCCACCCTACCCCAGGCTTCTGAGGATTTCTGAGCCTCCCAGGGACATTATAACAACCTGGAATGGAGGAGAGGGGCAGGAACCCAGGAGGGTATGGAAGAGGCCCCATTATCATGAGCCCCTCCAGCCTAGGATTTGGCTTGGGCAACAGCATTTACCTTCCCTGGGGATCTCCAAAACCAGGCCAGATTTGTACTCAGAAAGGAAATCCCTGGAGGATTTCCAGCTTGGGGACATTGCTGTGACTTGAAAACAGACATTTAGCTGTGTGGCCTTGTGCTCCTATAGGGGTCTGTCTGGCTTGGTGTTGGTTTCCAGAGACTTTGTCAAATAAGCTGAGGAGGCCTCCCAGGCAGGAGCACAAGGCCGTGGCATACCTGGGGGCTCCCAACAGCAGCTACTGTTGAGCACCGAGTGTGTCCCCAGCCCAACCAACACTGGAGAGTATCCAGAGTGGATGTCACATGGCTTCCCGTTGTCACTGCAGGCTTTGCCAATTGCCCAAGCATGTGTAGGTTATCAGTGCCACTGACAGACAAAGAGACAGGACCCACAGCCAGGAAGTGGCCAGGGCAGGATACCAGCTCAGGATTGTGTGACTTCACACTGGGGACTCAGGATTTTTACCACCCTGCCTCGCTCTGGGGGCTTCTAATCTCCCCAGCAGTAACTCAGAAGCAGTGAGGTAGGAGCAGGAGGTGCAGGGCCAGAGGGCTCTGGCCTGACCTGAACTCTTTTTCCGAGCTAGGTGTGGATGGCATCGCTCAGGCATACTCAGCCTGCCTGCCTCATATCCGCTTCTATGGCCCTACCAATTTCTCTCCCATCGTCAACCATGTGGCCCGGTTCGCGGCTCAGGCCACACAGCAGCAGACAGCCACGGTGAGTAGGCGACTCAGGCAGGTACCTGGAAGGGGCTGGCTGTGGCTCGGCACCTGCCTGACACAAGAGAGGGCCAGGCTGGGGTCTGCGCTTTATACCCTCCTACCCTCTCAGGGCTGGCGTGAGGGATGTCCCAGCTTCCTTGGTTCTAAAAGCCTAGATGAGATGATGCCTCGGTTTACCTGTTTAGTACTGTGGATGAACAAAGCTCAGCTGGCTATGTCCCAGCTTGTCAGAGCCCACACACAGGAAGAAGTTTCATATGTGCAGGGAGGCCTCCTTATGGTGAGGTACTTGGCACTCCCAGGACAGGTCCCTCTCAGACCACCTGGGTCCAAGCAGAGCAGCTCCCACCTTGCACAGAGGGCTACAGAGCTGACTAGCCCTGCAGTCCCAGTCATGTGGTGGCCTGCCCGAGGCTGCCATGGATGAGCCATGGCAGCTGGAATATATTTCAAGGGACAACCTCTGGTATCCCCAGCCCCCCACCTCACCCTCATGAGTGGCCCTGGTCTCACTCTGCAGCTTGAGTTGAGGGTCTTCTCCCTTTCCCCTGAGGGTGGTGCCTCTGACTTCACCCCTGCCCTCTCCTGACTGGAAGGATGTGACTGGTCTGACTGACCAAGTCCTATAAGAAGGACTTCCCGGCCCTGTCTCCAGGCTCAGGCTACATGGTAGGCACCTCACTCTGAGGTGATAGATTCTGGTCTGGGCCAAGGAAGCTTCAATCCATTTCCCTCCTGGCTGCCACCCCTGGGGAGACCCCCGCAAGACCCAGCCCCTGCCTTGTTTCCACATCCAATGAAAGGGAAAGGATGCTGGAGCTTTTGACTGCACTCCAAAATATCCCGGCTTTCTCCATCTGCTCATTGCCATGGCTCCTGCTGTCTCTCACCATGAGCCCAGGGCCATCACAGTGCACCTCTGCATGCCCAAGTGCAGTGGGAGTACAGGTAGGGCTGTCTTGAGGGTGTGGCATTAGGATCAAATGAGGTAACATAGCACCCGGCACTAAAAAACTTAAGAACAAACAGGCTAGCAGAGAGTTCAGTGGAAAGTAGCGTAGGAAGACAGAACAAGCTGCTGAGGTGGGCCCAGGAGGGAGAGGTGCTGGTCTTCTCTTCAGTGGGGATGTGATTGACCCATTGGCTGCAGTCCTGGACCTTGGCAGCTGAGAACTAAGACCAGTTCCTTCCTCACTCTCGGCCTCTTTCCCTCTTGTGAAGAGACAGTAGTGAGCCTCTGGGAAGGGGAGGGAGTGTCTGGACCCACTAAATGGGCAGGAAGACCCGGAAGGGCATTTTTTTAGTTCCTGAAGGCCTGGAATAAAACAGGTTGGAAAGGGCAGAGCAAGAGGCACCCGCAGCTTCCACCCCCTCCCATCAGGATGCCAGGCCAAGGCCCCACCCAGTCTCTAAGCAGCCTGAGCTCTCAAAGGGATTCAAAACAAAGCCTGTATTTTCCTCTCAGAGAAACAAGTGGAGCAGAGAACAGGAACGCAGCCCAGCATTGGTGCCAGGGTCTCTCACCTGCTGCCTCTGCCTGCCTGGGGAGCACCCAGCAGGAGCCAGAGTCTTGTCAAGCACTAGGCCCACGTCCACTAGACCCCAGGTTGGAGGGTGGGTGGGACCCTAAGGAAAACCATGAAAGGGGATTTTTTTTCCCCCTCTAGTACTCAGGATTGAACCCAGGGCTACTCTACTGCTGAGCTACATTTCCCACCCTATTTATCTTTTTGCAGTACTGGGGATTGAACTTGGGACCTTGCATTTGCCAGGGAAGTGCTTATAGCGCTGAGCTATAGCCCCAACCCTTCCCCACCCTTTTAATTTTATTTTGACAGTCTCACTAAGTTGCCTGGGGTGGTCTTGAATTTTCAATTCCCAAACCACAGCCTCCAGAGTAGCTAGAATTATAGGCAAGCACAGCCACACATGGCACAAAGGGGCTTCTGGCCTGCCTCTGAGCAAAAGGACCTGAGGCCCAAGCATGAAATGCCTGGTCCAGATCCTCTGGTCATCCAAGCTGCCTTTTTGACTTCCCCAATGCTCCCAGCTTTCTGCCCCTTCTGTCACCCACCCAGGCTGTGTGACCTTGGACCGTTGCTCAGCACTTCAGGGGTGCAAAGAGTGGGGCCAGGGGTCTCTACTGGCCCTGTCACTCTGTGGCCCAGAAGCCAGCCACCAGCACTTCCTGCATTACGGTATCCAGATCACAGGGTGTGGCAGTGGTTCAAATTCCATGTCCCCTCTCCCTGGCTGTGTGATCAGGGCAGGCAGCTAGAGCTCTCTGAACTTACTTCCTCACATAAGCAGCAGTACATGCCTTCTACAAGTATTGATAGGATTCAAACAGATGTTCAGCCCAGTACCTGGCACACAGTGAGTGCTTGCCTGAGGGCTGGATCTTCTGGGGACACCTCTCGGGCTAGCACTGAATGATGCTGAGCCATGGGGCCCACAACAGAAGGAAGGACGAGGAGTTATCAGATGCTTTTGTTCAGCCCTGTTCTGGTTTGGAGGGACTCTGTGGAGTGCTTCACCCTCCCTGTCCCCAGACATACGCACACATATGCACACCCACTTACAGGAAGTGGAGAGCAGGTGGTAGAGGATCTCCAGGCAGGCCTGCGGCTCCCATTCACTCACTGCACGTCTTTCCTGGCAAGTTCGCACAGCACTGGGAAAGCATGGTGAGCGAGGTCCAGCCCATGCCCTCCATGGGGTTATCATCATGTGACTGTTATGGCAGTACACTGTATGACCACAAAGATGGCGCCTAGCCAGGGGAAGCCCAGGGAAAAGTGACGTCCAAACTAAGACTTGGACGTCACTTCACAGTTGGCTTCCTGGAAGATGTATGTGTGACTGTCCTCAGCAGAGAGCTAGGCGTGTGGATGTAACTAGCAGAAGGGAAGGTGTGTGGTGTAGAGGGCTGTGAGGTTGGAAAGGCAGGGACCACAGGAGCCTTTGAGGAGCCTGCATTTTCTCCTGAGGGTAGTGGGCGTCAGGTGCTGGAGGGTATTAAGCAGGCTTGGGTGGGTGAGGGGGAATCGAGTCATGGTTCTTCACCCTTTCCTCTACTTTGGCCTTGCTGTTCGTGGCCCATTCCTGGTTGGTGACCTAGGCAACTACTGTCCCAATGGAGGAAGAGCTGTAAAGTAGCCAGCACCCTGGGGATTTTTTTCCACTCCCATCCTGAGGGCCCTTAGCAGCCAACTTCTCACATATAAGCTAATGGGGGAGTACAGCTTCTCCCATCCCTGCCTGAAACTGTTGTGGTGAAGTCAATTTCTTATAAATCGAACCACATGTTACATGCATTAGGGTAAGTAGCTCTTTGCAGCCCTTGAAACCTTGAAGAGTCCCTGGGATGAGCCAAGATACTCCAACCTTGGAATGTTCTGGGATTTCAGTTGGGAGAGCCTATAGCCATGGGAGTGGGGTCTGGGTTCCAACAGGGTGCCAGGCCCATGAGATGCAGTGTGTGCATAGGGCTGTCCTGGGGAGTGCTCAGGGCACAGGAGAAGGGTGTGCAGAAGAGCCCTCCAGGGAGTCAGTGCTGGCAGTGAAAACAATTTTAGGGCTGCTTGGAATCAAGAGTTTTCATCTGCCTGGGACAGAAGTTGACACTCAAATGGGTCATAGAGCTGTGTCTGGGAAGGGTATCCTTCTCAGAGGGAAGTAAACAGGAAAGGCATTAGAGGCAGAACACTGGGGCAGTCAGGTAGCCCAGGGCTGTCTGTGGGGACAGCAGAGCCTGCAAAACCCCTTCCAAACCTACCTGCCCTATTTCCCCTGTCATTCTTCCTGTCCACATCCCCTCTCACTTTGCCTTTAGTCTAGGGTCTGGGCTGTGGGCTCTGGGGTGGTAATGGATAGGTGAGGCTCCAGGCACCTCTGGCTGGGAGAGATGCCCAGGACCCATTGGCTGCACTTGCACTGCCAAGGCCGCTCAGGCTATAGACCCAGGCCTGAGCACATGGTGCAGGTACCACGGCTGGCAGATTTCATGCAGGAGTGAAGATTCACAGCCAGACTGCTATCCTGGCCATGCAGGCTGCTGTCCTGGCTGTGCCGTTCCTCAGACCCAAGGGTGCTCAGTCAGAGGAGGGGCTCCCAGGCAGGCTAACCATGACAGAGGGCAGCAGAGGGGACGTCATGGAAAGAGGTCCAACTTTGGGGTCAGCTGGACTTGGCCTTGAATCTGGACAACCACTTCCTGGCTTTGGGGCCTTAACAAGCCACTCAACCTTTCTGAGCCTGACCACTCATCTCTAAAACTAGACTCAATGGGAGGCACACCGGGAGTGTCCCTGACATTGCCATTGTGTGGTTCTCATGGCCTATCTGCAGTTATCCACAGGCCTGCAGGAACCTGGGTCCTGCCTGTACCCGAGCCCTGGGAGGGGGAATGCAGGCAGGGAAGGATCCCAGCCTCCCAGAAGCGTATGACTGATTGAAACAGGAGCCAGGAGCTGAGAGGGCCCACGAAGAGGGTGGAACCACGTATTGGTGCTGCAAGGGCCTTGGAGACAGTTCCCATCCACTGACTGGTGGAGCCCATCAGACCATGGTCCAGCACTGTTTTCTTTCCTCATTGTCAGGCCTCTGTGTGCCTCCCTCCTGCCAGCCTGGGTGCCCCACAAGTACTGCTGTGAACTAATTTTGGTGGGATGACACTATGGTTGAGGGTCACCTACAGCAAGAAGGGTCTCTGGAACAGTAGTGCACAGTAGGGGGACAGGGTCTTAGATGGGTTTGTGGGGCCCCCAAAACCAGGGATTGGAGGATGGCAGCATTAGCCCTCCACTGCAGGATTCAGGCTGCCATCTCCATGGCAACAGGTATCCCCAGCAAAGGGATTCGTCTCTTAAAGGCACAGTGCCAGAGCTGGACTACTGCTGTCTGGAGCCAGGGGTGAGGCTGGCCTGTATCATTGGCTCACTCCACTTTTTCCCTGCACAGTCTGTATGCAGGGCACAGACAGGAAAGCGAGGCACTCCGGGGGCTGAGCTTGTGGCTTCTGCTAGTTGCCTAGGGAGTAAACAATTTTGTTGGATGAGACTGTGGCCCTGGCTGACCTAGGGTCACCTTAGCTCTCCTAGCTATATGACTTTGATAGTCTGGCCCATCTTCTCTGAGATCACAAAGGGTCAGTCTAGAAGGTCGAAGCCCTCAGAGAATCCTGGGACCACCAGGGTTTCTTTATTTTATGGATAGGAAAAACGGAAAAGGGTCAGAGGGTGCTAGGAGCAGGAATGGTCTGCGATGTGGTGCCAGCCAGCCAGGAGAGCTAGGCCCAGGCGTGAGATCTTCTGTCCGATGAGTTTTCTTGAACTTCATTCACCCTCCCCACAATTGCTACAGTCTGGACTTTATCTTCCCATAACCCATACTGATTAGTATTTTTTTTTACTGACTTTATGTATTTTGTTTTGAGACAGGGTCTGGCTGTATAGTTCAGGTTGGCTTTGAACTATGTAGTCATGGCTGGCCTTGAACTCACAGTGATCTTCCTGTCTCAGCCTCTTGAATTCTGGGATTACAGGCATGCACCACCATGCCAGGTTTACTGATATCATTTATAAAGAAACAGGCCGGATGTTATGGTACAAGCCTGTAATTTTAGCACTTAGTAGCTGGAGGCAGGAGGATCTTTGTGAGTTCAGGACTAGCCTGGGCTACAAAGTGAGCTCAAGGCCAGCATGAGCTACATAGCAAGACCATCTCAAAACACATCCCCCCCCAAAAAAAATATATATGTATATATATATAAAGATTGTATATGAAAGAAGGAAATGGTAAAAATAAATACAACAACAAACTGGACAATGACATGAGAGTGCAACTGGACACATTGCCTCCTAAGGCTCTGAGCTGTCTCCCTTCTCTCTGATGCTAAGGTTTGTAAGTGTTAATGGCATTAAAAACACTATGCCAAAGTGAGGCTGCCTCCTAGGCAGAGCCTTTAGACTGGAAAGACCACTGCGGGGCCAGCTCTTGCTGCTCTAATTTCATGATCCTGTCCAACGCCACACCTGGGATGTGACCTATATCCACTTCTTTACCAAGAGTGTCCCACATTCCTGGGAACCCTGGCCCCTTTGAGGTATCCCCTGCTCTTATCAAGTACAGAACGAATGAGGGCAGACATTCTTACAGAAGGGGACTGCCCTAGTGTGTCAGCCAAAATAAGGCTTTCTGCACAAGCCAGAGCCTGTCAGGAGTGCAGCTGACAGCCACTGTACCAGACATGGTACTTTTTGTGTGTGTGTGTGTGTCTGGTGTTCTTTTGAGGGGAGACTTAAAGGACCTCATGCATCCTAAGCAAGCATCCTATCACTGAGAAGCATCCCCTGTCCTTTTATAAATTTTATTTGGAGATAGTCTTGTAAATTGCCCAGACGGCACTTGGACTTGCAATCCTGCTGTCTCAGTAGAATTACCTCGCCTGGCTCAAGCATGGTGTTTCTTTGAGCAGCAACCACAGAGAGCAGAGGAGGAAACAGCACCAGTGAGTTAGGCCAGGGGTCCAGGGGCCCATAGAGTAGCAGCTGGCAGAACAAGGGAGTCTAAGGTGACCAGGAGGCAGGAGACCACTCTGCTTCTGGCTGTGACGGGACCAATAGGGAAGGAGGCTGGGACTTCCCTGCTACCTTCCTCCCAGGAGCCAGAGGATTGGGAAGCAAGGGAAGGGAAAAGGAGGTCCAGGGACCTTGGGGCCTAGCTGAGTGCCCCACTGACTGCCCCTCTGCAGCAATACTTCATCCTGCTCATCATCACGGATGGTGTCATCAGCGACATGGAGGAGACGCGGCACGCCGTGGTGCAGGCTTCCAAGCTGCCCATGTCCATCATCATCGTAGGTGTAGGCAATGCCGACTTTGCTGCCATGGAGTTCCTAGACGGGGACAGCCGCAGGCTTCGATCCTACACTGGCGAGGAAGCAGCCCGTGACATTGTGCAGTTCGTGCCCTTTCGAGAGTTCCGAAATGTGAGTGGGAACCTGAGCCAGAAGGGGCAGTTCCAGGGCCCTGGCACTCATGGCTTCCAACCCAGGATGAACGTCTTGGGACAGGCCTAACCCTAGATTCTTCCTCCTCAACTCTGGGGACTCCCTGAGGAGTCATGGGGTGCCATGTGTGGTGCCATGCCAGGCCTCCTGCTGGCTTCCATATGCCAAGCAAATGCAGGCCAGGAACCTGCCCAGACTAGGACTCTTAGCAAGGGCCCTGGAGGACCTGCCCTTTGACAGAGGTCCTGAATGAGGAGCTGTCCTTGTGGGGCAAAGCATTCAAGGCAAACACAGGGGCTGGAGCAAAGGTCCTAGAAGAGGACGGGCTTTCCTGCTATTATGTCTTAGCCAGCTCCTCATCTGTAGATGGAAAGTAAGGATTGGCTTTAGGTTGGCCTCCTCTCCTGTAAGTTCTTGGGCACTGAACTGCACCCTGTTCCTGAAAGGTGACTCTTGCCTTATGTGCACTGACCCCAAGTCTACTCTGTGGACATCTTGGCCCCAACCCTCATCTGACCAGAGGTTCCATGTGACCTCTTGGTCCTCAGATCCCTTGGCAGAAGGGCCCCTTCGGATTGCTGTGCCTTAAATTCTAGGAGCGTGGTCCTCACAGCTCTGCCCAGTATCTTTGGGATTTACTGGCAATGGCTCCTTCCTTTGGAGTATCAGGTTCCTGAGGACAAACACTGGCATAGGTCACCCACTCAAGCATGGGACACAGCTGAGTGCCTCTGCAAGCCTGGCCTTTCAGCAGTGAACCAGTCACGGCCTCCTTCTCTAGCCATGGAGGTGCTCAAGAAATGCTTGCCAGTTGAGTAGGCTGCGCAGCACCTCTCTTAAAAAGCCTCCCACAGGCAAATTCAACCTAAAACACTATTCCCAGACATCTCCAGTGCACAGGGTGAGTTCTACTGAATGTCAAGGAAGACACTGCTGACAGATTCAAGCACAGGCAGGGTTGAGAGGCACTCATTTTTTAGACTGCCCAGCCCATCAGCCCAAAATGTGACCTCTGTGGCTCCTGCTGTTACAGATTTCTGGGTACCAAGCTTCTACCAACTTCTGTTCACTAATCTTTGTTCTCCTTCCTACCTTACCTTGGACCCCGCAGGCAGCAAAAGAGACTCTGGCCAAAGCTGTGCTAGCAGAACTGCCTCAACAGGTTGTACAGTACTTCAAGCATAAAAACCTGCCCCCCACCAACTTGGAGCCCGCCTGAGCCCCCGCTCAGCAGCAGCAGCAGCAGCAGCAGCAGCAGCATGCCGCCCTCCCCAGGAACGTGCACGCTCACCCTGCTTCCTCGTGGGTGGCCTTTTTTACCAATCCACGTTTTTATTTTTTACAACCGGACCTCTGCCCTGCTCCCCAACCCAGCTGGGCTTCCTGTGTCGGAGTCAGCAATGATGTTTCCAGGCCAAGGGGCAAAGCAGCTTCCTCTCCATCCCTGCCATCCCCCCCCCCACCCCCGTGCTACCCTTAAGTATTGAATGTACTTTGTATAATTTTAGTGGAATTGTTATTAAAGAATAAAATTTTTACAGTCATAACTGGCTTTTTCCATGTAACTAACTGCAAAAAGGAATGTGTCCCTGGTGCACTTTGTGTCATTGCCTGCACCCAATTCCTGTTGTTTTTTTATACTGTGACTGTGTCCCATTTGTTACACTCAGGGTAATAAAGGAGTTTCAGATGTCCCTGTGTCAGTCAGCTCCTTCTTCAATGGGGACCCTATGGGTTACACATCCCTGGAAGATCCCTTTCACGTACCCAGCAAGCCTGTGGCACTGGAGTGGTCACTTCTGTGTGGTACCTGTAGTCCCTGACAGCAATGAAACTAGTACAGAACATGGCACACTGTACACACTGGTATTTGTGCAGGAGAATGTGCAAGCCCAAACCAGTATCTGGGAGCTCTAGCCATTCCCTCCCACTTCCTCCTTCCCTCTTCCTCCCTACCCCCAGACAGCAGCAGCAGTTGCTGCCACACACTTGGTCCTGCTCTGGGTCTTCCAGGCCTTGTGGTCTGTAGTGTGTGAGAGCCTTTTTGGCCTCAGGATCTTGTAGGGCTAGGGTTAAGCCTCCTCGCTTGCTATTTTTACTGCATTCCCCTCTGGACACAGGCCCAGCAAGCAGCCAGAGGACCACTCTTGGGAACCATCCTATCTCCTGCTCTTAGTGCCCTTTTTTGCACATAAGTAACATTCTTTCCTCTTTCATCTACCTCTCTGAAGTTCTAGCCCCTTGACACAAGTTGACCCATAACCAGTAACAAGTAACAATTCTAGTAAGCACTGTCTCCAGCTCCCCAGAGAGTGCTTTGCAGGAGTGTGTGCATGTGCATAGGTGCGTGCAAACATGTGTACACAGAGAGTAAAATGAACTCAGCGTCTTGTGCATGGCAGGCAATATTCTGCACTGAACTCCGTCTCCAGCCCCACCTCAGGTATACCTTGCTGAGCCCTTCTCACAGTCCCTAACCAGAACTTCAGATTCGTGGAAGCACATGCAGCAGCGTATGAGGCCTGCACAAGGCACAGCCACAGTCAGGCACGCAGCCTGGGCTGTGCACGGGTTGCTACTGAGGTTGCTGACTGATGGCCTCGGTTCCTCCACTGTACTGCCACTGGTGATGTGTCTCCACCCATGCTCCCAAGGCAGCTGTCCTTCAAATGGCCTGCTCAAACCAGGCAGGTCCCATCTGCAGGCGCCCAGCAAGCTCAGGAGCCAGTTTAGCTGGTGGGAGTGAGGGGCACCTTCACCCCAATCTTTTATTCAATGTCCATGACTTCTATAGTCACCAAGAACCAGCTAAAGTACACCCTTCACTTCAAGTCTCAGGGGGCTGCTGGCACACACAGAATCCTGATTTGTGGATGAGCCTTCAGGAAGGCAGTGCCTTTGCTACCCAGGGCAGCCACGGGAACCCAGTACAAGTACATAAGGCTCAGTTTGGTTCACTTGCCTGGCCAGCTACAAGACAGACATTAGCACAAGTCAGCCTGCTTACTCTCATTTGGTAGCTGAAGTCACTAGGAGGCACATCCAGGTGGGTCTGTGCCACTCCAACCTAAAAGAATCTGTCAAGTCCAACTGACCAAAGGTCTGCCTCTGCAGGAGAGCAGCATTCTCCTAGACCCATGCTTCCATTAGCTCTTAGGAGGGTGTGCTGGGGTGACCACTTCTCATGGAGATTTCCAACCTCCTTCCTGACAACTCTCCAGAGTAATTTCCTAGGCTGCTAAGCTGGAGGGACTGATGTCTACTGTGCTATATTAAGACTGTCCCTGCCTTGCACTTGGGTGTCCCCAATGTTCACACTCCTACAGATCTGGTGTAGGCCACAGTTACCACTTTCAGGCCTCACATGGTGGGAGACCAACCCCTCTGAGACTACAGAGGTATGTCAAGCAGGGTCTGTACTTCTGGCTGGCTTCAGTACATAGGTGGAAAAATGTGCCTAAACATGAGACAAGGATGAACTGTATTTTTAAACTCCAAGCCTTGATGCTGCTGCTTGGCTCTTCCACACGGACAGCAGGCTGAAAGGCAGTCTAAGAAACTTGACCAGCTCCACCTTGGCCAGGAGACTCCTCCAGTGGGGCCTGGGGGCTGGCATTTGTTTAAAACTTTCACTGAAGTCACAGAAAGCTAGACTTAAAAGATGCAATGAAAGTTCTTGTTCTGTCACCTAGCTGTCAGCTGCCAGGCAAGTTGCTGAGCCACTGGGAATTCTAGTTTCCTGCATAAAATGTAGAGAAAGGCTGCTTCACAGAATTTTTCAGGATGAAAGATAACCATCCACTAAAATAACACACAAGTCCCCTAAACTGCCTAGCACATCCATAGCAGTATGTACTGAATGAGAGATCAACACAAGGGATGATTATGTGCATGATTATTACTGAAAGAGAAAGAGTGCAGGCTATCCCACAGCATAAAGCTCGGTGAAGACTTCTCTACAAAACTGTCCTCTGGAGCTGGGCTACATTCTGCCTGCTACTGCTGAGATTCCCACTCCCTTACATCAATGCGCCAGCAGGTAAGAGAGCAAACCTCTGGCCCTTGCCAGCACCACTAAGAAATGAATGTGCGACTGGCTTCTTGTGTTCAACCTGTGACTGCAAAAGTGTTGCCAAGATCTAGCCTCCCACTGAGCAGAATTTGCATTCTACCCTGGTATGCGTAACCAGGCTGGAGATGCCAGGAAAAAAAAAAAAAACAAGTCCAAATGGCTGTGTATTGCCACTGAGCTCTTATTTTTTTGGAGGGGCTTAAGATGACAGCTGAGCCAGATACCCACGGCTAGGACACTTGAGCCAAGGAACCAGGTGTGCCAGGGCAATTAACATTTAGCAGAGAGACACATACAGCAGAAGCTGGTGGTGGAGTGACAACCAGATCTGACCCTTTGGCATTTCAGCATTCTAGCTGCAACTCAGGAATGCCAGTGTGACCCATAAGCCCAAGAAAGCCAAATTAATGCATGCTCTGATGCCCGGCTCAGAAGCAGGAGCCCATGGTAACAGCACTAATGAGGACTGCCACGATCTACTGAGCATCAGGCACCGTACCAAGCACCTCATCTACATTTTCTCTTTCCTTCTATCTTCCCCAGGAAGACAGTAATCTGCTTCCCAAGAGGAAAGTGGGGCCCTTTTGGATCTTGACCAAGTGACACAGCTAGTGAATGTCTGGCTCCATGTTCAGAATCAGCAGCACAGTGTATATGCACAAGAAGGGCCAAGGCAGAGTTCCCAGGAAGGGTAAGCAAGAGCAGCAGGGTAGTCTAGGCAGAGTTTCTCTCAGGAAGAAGACAACAGAAGATGAAAAACTCAGATACTTTAAATCATCCCTAGCTTACTTAGAAATACCTAATACAACCACAGACTATGTAAGTGGCTGCTATATGCTACTGTTTAGAGAAATAAAATACTGTATGTTCAGTAAGACACATTTTCCCCCCAATCTTTTTCAATTATAACTGGTTGAATCCAGAAAAAAAACCAGCCAACTTGGAGGGCCAACTGTACCACCTTTTTTTGGCTTTAAGCAGTGCTTCCTTCCATAACTACATATCTCATTCTCCTTTGGGACAGAACCATGAGGTCTACTTTCAATGCTACCCAAAGCCACATCCCCTGTTGTTAGGTCCAGACTCTCCTTTGCTACAGAGGCTGTTTTAGTTCCAAGGCTTTATGCTAATGGGCACAACAAACTATGATGGAAGGACCACAGGGACTTAATCTCTCTTTGAGCCAGAGATATCTGTCTGAAGACCCAAGCAGCATAAATCCATGATGGGAGACCTGGAGGCCCAGGATGCAATACAGGAGAAGCAAGAGCTCCTTCTCTGATAGATTTACTGGATTTGAAATTCCTGTATGGTTTTAATCCCAGGAACCCTTTGTCAGCTTTTCCAGACACCAGCAGAGGCCATGAGGTATAGTAACAATCTCTGAAAAGTCAAACCACATAAAGATGGTAACTTTTGATTCCTTGGCCTGACTCCTGAAATTATCTCACACTACTTTACGTACGTGCTGCAATCATGACAGCAAGATTGCAGGAACACAATGAAGCAGTAAGGCAGAAGGTGCCTGCAGCTTTGCCAAAGCATCCTGTTTATAAAACAACAAAACAAAGCATCCTGTTTGTGAGGATGGAGCTGATACACCCATACTGACAGTTGGGAACAATTAGCACCGATAAGTCCTGAAAAGAAGGCAGAATTCATGAGGCATCAGTTACAGGTGAGAGGAAGCCACCATCTGCCAGTGGGCACCAGAGTATCACCAAACTGGAAGGGAAAAAGAAGTAGGTTGGATGAGACCCAGAAGCCTCCCTGCCCACATTAAAAATGAGTAGCTTCTCTGCCTGTCAGCTGCACCATAGTGCCAATACATTCTGTGTAAGTCTTGCTCAGTCTCACACCTGAGGAAGCAGAAACAGTTCATGCAGGAACCTAGGGAAAGAAAGAGCCACACAGGCTCACTCTTCTGAGGCAGGACACCCAGATGTTTCTGAAGCTCATGTCCACCTCTTTCCCTGAGGCCTCCATAGCCTTTCCTCTCCACACCTCCCTCCCACCCACTCAAGGCTGAGCCCAGTTCCCTGTAGGAGACAAAGAGGGTACAGCTCCTCGGATGCAGGAAAGTATAGTGGGGCAGTGGGTAAAAGAAAGTGCCCAGGGCAGTACCTGTAGGTTTGCAATGCTCTCCAGTTAAAAGCCCCAACTATAACACAGCTGAAACGGCGAAGTGCCTGGGTGAATTGCAGAGCAGTCCTAACACACAGGAACAGCCCACTAGTTTGTGGTATTTGGACTGCAGAAACTACTGGAAATGTCATCTTGATAACATACACACCAGTGGTTCTTGTTTCTGGCCATGTTAAATAAGGCCTCTGTTTGTTTCTCTAAGGTTTAGAATCATAAACTACATCTTTTATTTTTAAAATCAGAAACAAAATAACTTGCCAGGCAGACAAAAATCTTAGTAGAAGCTTGCTTGTTACCAGTCCATTCCTATACAAAGGGGGTTGGATGGAGAGAGGAGAAGAGTGGCCAACAGTGAGGAAAACTTCACAATGAAGGCTGGTGTCGACTGACATCCTCCACAGACAGATTCCATTATTTGTACTTAGCACACGACATCACGGAGGGCTGAGTTCCAGGGCAATCTCCGCTTCACCACCAGTCAGCTTTGTCTCGACGTGCTTCACAATGCAGTCGAACCAAACAACATACTTGTCTACAATAAATTTTAAGTAACACCTGTACAACAACTGCCCTTGCTTTTTGTGTTGTTGGGAAAGGAAAAAGAGAAAACAAAAAGCAATAAAACCCAGCAGCACCCTTTGCAAGCCAGCAGTGTGATCCCCCCAGGCAGCATCAGAGGCGCCTCTGTGGGCGTACCCACCCTACCATGTCAGTGAGGAAGAGGCAGTGAAACTGGTTTGGTCATCTGTACTACTGTGGAGAGGAGACCAAACACAGTTCTGGCCACAAGTGGATCTGGCACATTTTTAGGTGAGATTAGAAGTTTCACAGTGTGCACAGGGGGCCAGCAAAGGAGTTTTTGGAGGGAGGTTACAAATGCCTGGTGGCAGAACAGACAATCTGACCATTCTAGGGGGACTCGCTGTGTGAAGGACAGGAGCTAGGGTGCCTCAAGGAAGGTGTTGGTTCGAAAGATGGAGGAGACGATCTTCCCTGTGGCATTGATGGTGCCTTCACTGTCTGAGCTGGACTCAGAGTCGCTGCTCCCAGAGTAGGCGCCCAGGCCTGGGAGGATGCCGATGCAGACAGCAGCGGAGGGGCAGTGAATGGACGGGCCGCTCAGGGAAGTACTTCCAAGAGACACACAGGATGAGGCCTCTGCAAAAAAGAGGATTTTAATTCATCACCCTTTCAGAGGTGAGGGGTCCTTACATACATGCTGGGCTGGGTGGTAAGGCTTCCCCCCAGAAGTCATCAGGCCTGTAAACAACTGTGTGCAGCCAAGACTCTTGTCATCTCCATTTTACAGATAATGAAACTGACAAAGAAAGTGAGGCTCCAGGAGGTGAAATGACTTAGGGTCAAGAGGCAAAGCAAGGACTTTTCCTCCACAGCCTGTCTCTCGTTCTCTACCAGCTCTGAGCTGTAGAACAAACACTCAGCAGTGTTGCCTCGGGGTGGGGGCCTTCCCTGTCCTCCTCAAAGGGAGAACAGTGTCAGTGAGTATTCCATACTCACTCTCAGGGCACAAGATGGACATCCAGAGATAAAAAGCTTCCACATGTTCTCAACAGTAGGGATGAAGCCAGATTAAAATTGTGAGCGACAGTAACAATTCTACTGGTTCTCAGCTTGCAAAGCCATCCCATCCTTGCTCCGTGTGCGGCTAGCACAGATACACTCTGAAGGCCAAACATTAGCTGCAGAATAACACTTTATTAAGGAGGGCTGGTTTTCCCTGACTGGGGAGACAAGCAATTTAGAAACTGATTTAACACAGCTTTTGCCTTCCGTTATGTTCCTCTTTTACAATTGAGAAAACTAAAGACAGTCAGGTAACACTTTCAGACCATACACAATGTCACCAAGTATCTGGGGCTCTTTTCTTCCCAGAAAACCCACACTTACCTGCCACTCAAAGGATAGAAAGCCTCAATCTAGAAAATGTAGAATTTGAAGGGTAAAGGAAAGTACTCCACTCTACCGTGTCTTCCTTCTGAATGTTTCCAGGCTCATTTAATCACTGTCACAAATGGTATGTGGACATTATCCCCGTTTGCTGGTGAGGTGAGTCAAATGAGTTGGCAGTCTTATCAACTACTTAGAGCAAAAAACACTTAACTAAACCTCAGTCTAATGATACTACACTAAAATGATATAAGCTCATTGGAAAACAAGGATTGCAGCCCATGCCATTGCCTCAGCCGGACAAACACAGCAGTCTTCTGGGTTTGCCTTGGATGTGCTACCATCTCCCACATGCACACACCTCAGGTAGATGTGAAACGACACATGGTTCCATGCATACAAAACTAGGAGTCTGAATACACTATCTCAAGGCCAGTGCGCAGAATTCAGGAGGACTGGTCTCCAACCAAGAAGAAAACTATGAACAATAAACAATGTTAACAAATGCAGATGTTACGAGCTTTAAAAAAAGGGCAGACAATGCTCACAGAGATGTCAAAAATACACTCCCAAGAAAGCAAGGCAACTATCTGCAACAATATCACAAAAGCTTATGTCTTTAAGATTATGAAGAATTCTAATCAACAACTAAACAATAAAGCAGATAAAAGATGTTAATAGTCCATGGAAATGGGCACACTTGAACTTTAAACATAGGAAGGTAACAGCAGGGACACCATGTAAGGAATAACTATCTATATGCCGCTGAAGGAATATAGAGGACTTTGGCAATGACCTTCAAATATAAGTGACGTTCATAAGACAACATTCACTGAAGCACTGTTTCAGGTAGCAATTAATACGCTACTGGCAATTAATGCCCATTAATACGCAGCTGGCTAAGTAATGTACTCCTATTCAGCTATCAAGAAGAAAGCAACTTGGGTGGGGGTGTGGCTCAGTGGCTGAGACTCCTGCCCAGAATACACCAGTGGGGAGGGGAAAGGAAGGGAAGGGAGAAAAAAATGAAACAATATCTTCCTCTGTGCTGGAACTGAATTATCTCCAAAATATTGTGCAAAGGACACAAAATGCAAAGGTCAGAACAGTTTAAGTTATAAATTAGGGGAAGGAGCTATAAGTGTGCATATGTACAATAACATCAGCAAAAATATGTTCAAAACTGGATGCTGACTACTCCGGGGGGAATGATGGTTTCTACATTCTTTTGGGATATGACATCAAGCTATACAATTCATTAAGTAAGCACTGATTATTGTTATGTGTAACATATATTTTTTTTATTTTAT